AGGATCTTAAACTCAGTTGCCTGGGGAAAAAAATCCCAAGTATTAAGAGTCTACCATCTACCAGATATACCATTAGATACTTCAAGGGATCTTCCTCATTTCCTCTCCATGAAGGAGCGATCATTCCCATTTTACAGGTGAAAATACTGAGGCTCAGTGAGATAAGGTGACTCGCCCTTTGTGGCCGCTCTGTTCGCTGCCACAAAGCTGAGATTCAGATCCCTCCCTCACACTACACGCCTCTAGGAAATGGGAACAGGGACAGCATAATATGCAAACTCCTCTGAGTATTTAGCAGAAAAGGAGCCCCTTCCCTTCCACATACATACACATAGGCTGGCTTTTGAGAGCCCAGACTATTCCTTGGTCATTCCAGAGTGCCTGGTCCCAAAGGGCTCTGGGGGACAAATAAGAACTGAATAGCAGAGGACAGGTTCTCAAGGAAGGACCTGTGTTATAATATCTGGGTGGACGTAGTGCCAAGCATGAGACCAGGTACCCACCAGCTCTTCGGCAAGTACACACGGTATGAATAACTGGATGGAGGCGTAAATGTAAAACAAGATGAAGACATGCGAGGCATCCCAGATAGAAGAATAAATACAGTGCAGTGCGATCTGGGACAAAAATTATCACTGAGGGAAATGAGTCAGGGAAGTTTCCTTGGATGAGCACGCTGTTGGAGCTAGACTTCAAGCATATGTATGATTTAGTTATGCAGAGTCACGAAAGCGTGGGTGAGGGGATGAAGAGGGCAATCAGCAGAGAAAACATTGTGAATAGTGGCACAGAGGTGGGGGAAGTACAGAACCCAGAGGGGCAGTGATGGGCTCTTCAGACTGTTCGCAGCCTGGGTCACCTGAAGTTCAATGGTGGGAGGAAGGTCAGACGGGACTGAGGAGGCTAATCTGCAGTCTGTCTTCAGAATTCTTCAATAACAACTTTCATGCACAGTATAACAAGGAGGGTTCAGAATGGGAGACACGGAATAGGCCTTGGCAGACAAATAGGATGTTGTTGAAGACTGTTTCTAAAACCAAATACCTGCTTTGATTTTTGGCAGTACTTTAATAACTAGACTGTTTTTCTAAGACAAAAAAAAAACCTGTTTTCCAAAGGAAGCATGGAAGAAGGACGACCAGACTCTGCCTTTCCTCTCCCCCCTCCCTCCCCTTCTGGCCCAGTTATTGTTTCCCCCTTCCAGAACAACTCATGCTGCCCCAGAAAGTCCCCACAGAAACACTCCTGGGATGAAACGATCTTCATTTCCCATGACGAAGGGCCTCACCACACCTTTCCAGCCTGACTTCTCAGCAGATACCACAGAGACCCACAAGCTCCCAAGTGCTCGCTCCCAGAGCATGCTGTCTTGACCTTTTTCTTTGAGATTCTTATAGCAAACTGGCCTTTACCCCAAACCTTCTGATTTATGACCTCTCTCTGACCTCCGATACCTGCCGGAAGCCAGAACAGCTTCGGCTCTGGCTCCTGGCCAGCTCTCCCCATCCTCATCCCAGCCTCTCAGGGATCATGGCTTTGTTGCTGGACTAGGGAGGCAGGAATCTAAGGAATGGAGACACTGATCCTACATCATCTTGCTTTGTCATCCTTCATAGGGAAAGTGAGGGCTGCATTTAGGACTGGTCCCTCCAGAACTCTCTGACCCTCAGTATTTTCATAAACACAGTTGAACAATATGATGTTTAAGGTTCCTCTGGCTTTGATAGTGCTGATAAAATCTACTTGAAAACATGGAGCAGTTTTGAGCCTCAGTGAACAGGTATTTGCAAGATTCTCTGAGTTGCCAAGATGAATGCAGTAATACGACCATAGGGGTTATCTTGATTCTGATGTGTCTGTATTATGTCTGCGCAGTTGAGGTTGGAGAAAGTGGAGACATAGCCCCTCAATGATTCTTCGTTTCCAAATAAATGAGCCGCTTTCACAGGAATCCTTTTTAACATGTCATAAAATTAACTATGGAAAAAGATAATGTTACAGATATCTTTAGGCACTTCAGGCACGCACAGAGCTACACTTGGCAAGGCAATATTAGGTAAATGTTTTGATTCTAAAACACTTAATGAGGATTCCCAGATAAATTAAAGCATCTCCATCTGCTCTCTTGCATAGTAGGTGATATTTTACCCTTGCACAATCATCTCCAAATCTCATTCCACCAGGAAGACTTCTAATCACAGTTTAATTTTAGAGCAATATTCCACTTGGCAATCAATAAGCTACTGTCGTCAAACTTTGATTTAATAGGAGACGCGGAGGGCGCCTGGGTGGCTCAGTTGGTTGAGCGACTGCCTTCGGCTCAGGTCATGATCCTGGAGTCCCGGGATCGAGTCCCGCATCGGGCTCCCTGCTCGGCGGGGAGTCTGCTTCTCCCTCTGCCCCTCCCCCCTCTCATGTGCTCTCTCTCATTCTCTCTCTCTGAAATGAATAAATAAAATTAAAAAAAAATATAATAGGAGACGCGGATAACACTGTCCATATTATGCAGAGAGAGAAATACTTTCTGCAAAGGGGAGAGAAGGAGGATGTCTTTGTCTGTCACTTTCCCCTACTGCATACCATTCTAGTTCACAAAAGCCTATAAAACAATAACCCTGTGTTGCTTGAGTATAAATCTCATGTTTTACATCATTAACACCATGAAGAAGCCACCGCCCTTTGAGCAGCTTTCCTCCACCAGCTAAGTATGTCCTCTTAATAAAACAGGAATAAATGGGTTCTGAGTCTTTTACTAACAAACATTTCCTTCCTCACCAACTTTATTTGGGTCAGGATTCATGAGAATTATACAGTTGTCTTATGGCCGATTAGGGGCAAGGGTGACCAGGCGGGGACACCACCCTCCAAGCATGATGTCCAGTGGGCAGTGGGCAACATGACAAGGCATGATGAACCTGAAGAGAGAGTCCCAAGAGTAGTCAGAGAGGTTAAGGTGCAGCAGCAAATTCTACGGCAGAAATGATTCATGAGGTTAGAAGCCTAGAAAGATGGCATTTTGGAAGGTCAGGGCCAGGGGTCCAGAACTAAGGTGCTGGCCATCACGAGAGCCATGTGCCCACTGACCTGAGAGGCTGGCTGTGTGGTTCACGGTCCTCATGGCTAAAGGATCTGGGGTGACAGAACAAGACCTTCCAGAACATCTACTCCTGTGATTCCCACCACTTTCATAACTAAGTCACCTTTGTGTTAAATGTCTCCCTCCCTCCATGGACTCAGTAGTGGCAAGGAATTTTGTCCACCAAAAAAATGTATTTATAGTCATTCACTTTCCCATTTGAGTTATTCAAACCCAAACTAAATGCTAAAGAGAAGGCTCTCAAAGATAAACTAAGGAGTACAACAGTAACCTGATACAATTCTAAACTTGGCATTTTCATTTGCGTGCACAATGACATGTGTTGTCTTAATTAAGGATAGTTATAAATTTCTGTTTCACCTTTTGAAATGTTGAAAATTGCTTAGGACTTCTTTTTATTACTTTTGATGACCCAAGGAGATCCTGGGCTTTGGGTTAGGAGCCATTGATCTGGTACAAACTTCTCACTGGATAGAAGACTAGACAGAGGTCCAGAGAGGTGCAGTGAGTGCCTTGTGCTCACACAGTGGCTAGAATTCAAGCCTCTTAATACCTAATATAATAAAAAGACCCCTCATATAAGGACTTGAAGCATATCATTTAATGCCCAGCTGCCTGTGTAAGCCTTTACGCAGAGTACTGTCCACTGAGGGTTGCTTTAAGTAGGTTCAGTACAGGAAAACGGCCATAAAGATGATCACCGCCAACAAGATGGCGAGCATTTGTTGAGGCTTAGGTAATAAAGAAGAGACGATCAGTTTCAAAAGGTTTTCTAATTACTGGTCAACTATCCCAGTTTACTCTTGAGTTCAGCAACTGTGGGTCAAGCACAGCGCAAGGTTCTAGGATGACAGAGTTGAGGAAGATGGAGCCTGGTGGGGAAGGCAGACCAGGAATCAGGCAAATCTATCTGAGAAGGAAGGTCTTTGAAAGCAAGAGCGCAGGGGGCTGTGTGTGAGGAATCAGTTAGGAATCTAGGTAACAGTAGAGACTGAAGTTCTATGGAATTATTTCTGCAGGGGGAGGGAAAGCAAGCCTTGCTCAGGGGAGGTTTCGCAGAGGTGGTGCTATTCGAATGTCTTTTTTTAAAGATTTTATTTATTCGAGAGAGAGAGAAAGAGGTGAGCAGAGGGAGAGGGAGAAGCAGACCCCCACTGAACGTGGAGCCTGAGGAGGGCTCGATCCCAGGACCCTGGGATCACGACTTGAGCCAAAGGCAGCTGCTTAACCCACTGAGCCACCCGGGCACCCCTCAAATGCCCTTTTAAAAGGGACTAGGATTCAGGCAAATGGGTAGAAGAATGGGCATTGCACACAGAGCAACCAGCCCATGAAAAGTCTCAGAACTAAGGGAGTCCACCTCTGGCCCAGATGGTGACTCTGGACAAGATAGAAAAAGGTGTTCGTTCCTTTAGATACTGTCACCATCTGTCAAGAAAGGGTGGCACCCACACACGTTTACAGTTCTGTGACTTTGAACGGCGCCCCAGTATCCGTACAGAGTGCCACTCTTCCAGCACAGCGTGCAGAGGCCCGGGGTGTGGGAGTGTGTTAAATATCACACCAGCGCTTTGCCTGGGCCGTGTCCTGAAGCGAGCTACAACCGGAGCCTGCCCCACTGAATTATCCTGACTGGCCCTGGCAAGCTGAGGAAGCCACCGCCACAGATGCACCTTCAGCATGTGAGCAGTCCTGTTTTTCTCTCTGGTCACAGCACTAAGACCATGGAGGGAAGCCTCCATCTCTCAAGGGCAGGCGCGGCTCTTTTTCCTTCCATCTGGACCCAACAGCTTTTTCCAAAGCCCTTCGGGCCTGTTCACACATAGCTGAAACACATCTCCTATGGATCAACAGCTCGAAGGGAAAGTCTCGTGAAATATGCTCTTCCTTTTGTCTCCACTAGGCTCTTCAGCATCATCATGCTGTTCACGAAATTTCCTACATTGCAAAGGACATCACAGATCACCGGGCCTTTGGATACGTTTGTGGGAAGGAAGGGAATCACAGATTTGTTGCCATAAAAACAGCCCAGGCGGTGAGTATCCCCATCCGAGGAGGGCTCCTCTCCTAGTAGCTTTAGGGGACAGTGCGTCCGGTCACGCTGTGGGTCTTTGAAGCCTGCCTCTGATGTAGGTCGAGACCATGCTGATGCTTAGGCGCCCATGTCTAGAGCATAAATAGCCTCGGAGCAAGGAAACGGGGGGCTCAGGCCCATCCGGTCTTCTTGTTGTTTTTTCTAATGTGTATTTTGTAATGACTAATTCTTTTCCTTTCTGATTAAGTTGGATGGAGGCACCGCTATACAAATAAGTTTCCTTGTGTTCATAGCCTCATTTAAAAAGAAAATAAGAGAAAACAAATAGCTGTTTTGCATAAGGCCTGCCCTAATTTTATTGTATTCGAAATTACTAATAAATAAAAGCAGTGCCTTTTATGCTTATGATTATGAATTTGCAAATATAATTAGTTGAAGAAATGAACTTTAGCCTAGATGCAATTTGCTAAACCAATATAAACAAGGTAGAATTAATTAAAGATGGAATGCTTTCAGTTTGATAGGAACAGGAAGGGCGGGGGCTGTAGCTGGCAAAAAACAGAAACAGGCCTCTCTGGCTCAGGACGTTTCCCTTACTAATGCACTTTATACCCCCTTTTACTCCAGGCTGAACCTGTTATTCTGGACTTGAGAGATCTCTTTCAACTTATTTATGAATTGAAGCAAAGAGAAGAGTTGGAAAAAAAGGCACAAAAGGATAAGCAGTGCGAACAAGCTGTGTATCAGGTATACCCGTGAATTTCTCTGAGCACTAGAGAAGATTGGGCCTTAAACAGACGCGAAAACTGATAGTCAGGGCTTGTCCTCCTGCTGCCAAGTAGAAATAAACAAAGATGAAAGGTTCCCGTGTAAATTACAGGCACCCAAAGCACACAGTTAGAGATGATCTTTTATTCTCTGAAATCCTGGACATGTTCGAGAAAGTGAAATTTTGAATTCCAAGGAAGATTTCCGGGGGAGGAGAACAGAAAGACACAATTGCTTTTGCTGTTGTTAAAGGTGGGGGTGGGGGTGGCTACAAGATGGCTCGTTTTTCCTTTGTGGGTTGTTTTGTACTTGAAATGACCCAGCAGCCTCTCCCCTCCAGAGCTGGTTTCTTTACTGTCCTGTAATTTCTGAATACAGTTTCATACCTCTCCCTTTATTTATATCCTCTGCTTCTCAACCTCCCTTCTCTCGCTCTGCTGTAGACAATTTTGGAAGAGGATGTTGAAGATCCTGTATACCAGGTAATTTCTGGAAGCCGTCGGGGTTTTTAGGGTCAGGAATGGCGAGGCCCTTGCTACAGACACTTTGCAGAGCTCCTGAAGAGCCCCTGACTGCAGAGCCTGGAGAGGGATGGAGATTAGTTCCCAGGGTGAGGGCTGGGTTTCCATGAAAAACAAACAGATGTTTGGCTGACATCCATTACGTGAGATCTGGAGATACACTTCTCCCTTCTTGCCCCTGCCTCGGCCCCCTCCACAGTCTATAAATATGCAGAGCTGGGTGTTTTCGGGAGTGTCTTGAATATTCCAAGTTCATTAGGAGGCTTCTCTGACTTAGGAACCAGGGCTGGGGACTGAGTTTTGGTGACTTTGGAGTACAAGCAGGGCAGTTTGTAAGTTTTGGGAAGGCTGTGGGGGCAAGTCTCTGGCCCCTCTGATGAGCCAGCTCATGCCATGGGCGCTGTTGGGAGGAGGGTGAGGGAGACCCTAGAGACGTCCTAGCCCATAGATTTCCCTGAACTCTGCAAGGTTGCAGCCCAGGTGGGGCCAGAGACATGACTTCTCTTGGATCCAACTATGTGCTCTGTACAAACAGATGCAGAAAGAAGGGAAGAGGAGGCCTCCCACCACAACCCCAAACCCACTCATGCTTATTCCTAAGGAGAAAAAGCCAAAAAATGGACTTGTTGGACATAAAACCCAAAACTTCTATTTCTAACCGGACACACCTGGGTTGTGTGTGTGTGTGACACATTGTTATTCAGTGCCTATTTCCACATAGAAAGCTGGTATAGCTGTGACAAAAATAAAATAATATGGATAAAATAAGTAATATAATACAAATAACTTGAAGTAGAAGTATCTAGCCTGTGTGGTTTTTAACAAAAGCCAAAGATGTGCCCAGCGGCATGCCCTCCCTCTAGAATGCTGAGGGTGAGAATTTGTCTAGATATGAGCTCGTCCCCTGGCTAACTGACTCACAGAGACTGAAGAATATTGCCCTGTTTGAAATGGCCCGGTCCTGTAGAAGTCTGAAACATGCACAGGAAAAAAAACAAAACAAAACCGATTTTCAATATTTAAAACTCAGAACGTAAAATCAGGTGATATCTATGGGATGAGGAGGTTTGTGGTTTGTAAGCACTTCCGGGCCAAGTGAGGATGTTGGGCTTGAGAGAAGCAAAGGGGGGCAATTGCTACTACCCAGATTACAAAGTCGGGCCACTAGATGTTCCCAGGAGATGTCATTCGCACTCAGCAGCCTGGCACGTGCCGATATTATTGCGAGCAAATGCCGTCGCATGAAGAGGCCACATCTCCAGAAAGATACGCGGGGTCCCATGCCCTCACAGCCATCAGACCCTTACCTTCTTCCTTAGAAAAGGCAGGAGTGTGCAAGGCACGTGCAGCGTTTCAGTGATCCCCTTGTCTCTTGAAGGTGTTTTCTGCTGCGACTGTTTCTTTAATGCTCACTGTGATTTGTATCCTAAATTCCAAATGCCTTTTTTTTCCCCCTCTCTCTTCTTCCCCTCTGACCTTTCCTCTCTGGCCGCACCATAATAGTACATTGTGTTTGAGGCTGGACACGAGCCAATCCGTGATCCCGAAACGGAAGAAAACATTTATCAGGTATAAAATCGCTTCTCTCTCTTTCCATTGCGCCACTGCCTCCTTCCGTTGCGCGGACAGGTCCCCAGAACCTGGGGCACGCTCCTCACAGGGTCTCTCCATGCACTAGGTCATCCAGGCTTGGTCAAATACCTTCCTCTGAGTTGGCTTTTACCGATTGACCAGTAGTTTCTACGCCTTATTGTAGAAATGTTCAATCGCCCGTTGAGTGCGGTGTTTTAATTGTTAATGGATCTTAACTATTTTCAGTGGACTCAAGAATCAAACATTCCATTGGAATAAAGTAATCCAGGAGGGTCCTTCATTTCTCCAAAGAAGGTGCTCATCAAATTTCTTTAAAAAGCCAACTGCACTCCTGAAAATCAAGGACAAATTCAAAACACTGTTGCAAAACAGCACTGGGAATATTAACTGAATAAAAGAAAGTACAGCTCAAGGTTTCACCCCTCCTAAAGGGAAGGTAAATTAATATTCTTAAATGTCTGCTCATGTGAAGAGCACTGCACACACTTTGTGATTCATTTAATTCTGACAAACATGCTATGAAGTAGGTATTTAATCCCGCTTTTACAAGGGGAAACTGAGACTCAGAGACGTTGAGTAGCTTCCCGGGGACTGTATAGCTATTTAGAGCTGAGATCAGACCCATTGTGAGTGAAGGCAGAACTCACACATCCTCCCCCATGCTTTTCCATCAAAGAGTTTGAGAAATTGCACCATAGCAACACATCAAACAAATATGACAACATCCAGTTTTTCACTAATTAGAATTTTAGCCTGAATTTGAAACATAAACATTATGGAAGAAGGAAAAAATTTATTTAATAAGTGATTTTAATTTTCTTAATTTACTCAGTTGTGCGGTCTGCTTTTCTGCCTTGGCATGCATTACTTGTGTAATAAAAGTAAAACAGATTTTCAATTTCTGTCTAATGCACAGAATTCTAAATGACCAAAGTATCACATCAGCTCTACCAACAAGTCGGCTTAAGCCAGTCCCATGGAGTAATAATCGAAGTATTTCTATCCCCTGGAACTGTCTGGATTGGATGCAAGTGGGAGGTTGTGCTCTGAAGTTTTGTTTAAAATCATCACTCACAAAGTTTCCGATCTTTACACAGAGAACTTGCATATTTGTTCTCGGTGTCAGATTTTAAATTACTACAATCTTGTGGTGTCTGAATATGCGGCCAAAGGAGCCATTAACCAGTCATCCTCTGAAGAAAAAACACCTTTCAAGACAAAATTAGGCTTTTCAGCGCAAGGTTTCTGAATTCCAACTGAGCAGTAGTTGGCGGGGCTCCCACTGTGCCCTGTGGGGGGACTGCTGGGAGTGTGGGACATCCTGTGTGCAGGAAGAATTCGTCTAGGCTGGCAGAGAACTGGGCTCTGGTTCTGGCCGCATCACCACCTAACTTTGGCTGAGTGGTAGTGGGCAAGATACTTGCCCTCTCTGAGATTCCCTTTCCCCAGTGATAAGGTAGGGGAGTAATTTCTCCGTAACTCACATTTGGAATGAGAATGAAGCAAGATCATGTGAAGGATGTACAGAAGAGACTCTATCCTGGGTCACACAGTGTGTGGATTCAGGATCTTAGTCCAGGTACCAACTCAGCCATTCATCCAGCTTGTCGAGTTCCTTTCTGTCTCCGAGCCTCAGTGTACTCATCTGTAAAATGAGCAGCTAAGACAGAAGAGTCTCGACGGGCCCTTTGCTGCTTTTTGTGACTCATGCCTCATCACAGGACAGTGATTCTTTAGAGAATCATGTTGGCTTGCTTTACGGGGCAAACAAGACTCTTAGAAGTGGTGTGTGTGTGTGTGCGTGCGCGCGCGCGTGGTCTGTAGCTACTTAACATTTATTGAGTGCTGACTGTGGGCCGGCTCTGTGAATGGGATCTACATGCAATATCTTATCTCTCACAATAAGACTGTGTGGCTTGCGCCGTCATTCCCACCTTACAGACAAAACAGTGGGGCTCACACAGATGAGGTGCCTTGCCCAAGGTCACAGAGCTATAAGACGTGGCCCCCTCACTCACAGCCAGGTCTCTCTGACCTCAGTAAATAAATAAATCCCAAGGTTCTTTTCAGCTCAGAATATCCTGATGCAGAGTTTCATGATTGGATTCTGTGTAGGTATCAAGTCACTATCTAAAAATCACACTTGTTTTAACACTTCTGACCTCCGGATCTTCCCGTCTGTCCATCATTAGCAGGAAGGTACCATTTAAGGAAATGAATATTTTATCAACCCTCTGTTCTCCTCTCTTGCTTTGCCAGTCAGCTGAGCCTCAATTTGCTTAAGGAGAGATAAGCTCTTGGGCCTGAAGATAAGGCTGGGCTTTTAAGGAGCTGCGATTAGGATCTGGGCTCCTCTTTGTGTTTTAAGAGCCTAGGAGTGAGTGTTCCATAGTTATTCCTCCTGAGTAGATTGCAGTGTTTCTTATTCTTCAGCTTGGCCCAGGGTGGTCTCAGATTTTCATCCGTTCCATTTTGTGGAACGAGGCAGACCTTATCACTGGGACAGACGAGGCACCTGGGGCCTAATCCTTGAGCTGTTTTGTGGTCTTGGGCGAAGTACATAACTTTTGTATCTCAATCTCCTGGGCTATAAAATGAGGTACGCTACGTCATCTGCTTCTAGAAGTGATGTGAAGGTGTAAAGCGCTTGGTACATAGTAGGTTCTGTGTAAATGTTGGTTCCCTTTACTTCCTAAGAATGTCATTGGTACCCGACGCTGTTCAAGATGTCTTATGATGATGTATTAAGTGAAGTAGAACATGACTTGCTCACCTCCTCCTGTCAGAGAGCCTAGCAGAAAGTTGCAACCTCACCTAACTTTGCTATTTATAACCCCCGTGTAAGGGAGGGAGAGACTCTTGAGTAAATGTAACCTCTCTTTGAGGATCAGTAGTCTCATTTTCCAAACTAGATTAATAATAATAATTGTCTTTCTTTTTGCGTGCACCAGAAAAAGTTATCCGTCATCTTTTTTAAAACAACACAGAACCTTGCGGTACAAGGGTTTTTACACCTCACTTAACATTGACCCTTGCAATAACTCAGGAGGATAAGAATAGCTATGATGACTATCATTTTAAACCGTAAGGAAATCAAGTCCTGCAATTCAAGGGCTGGGCCCAAGGCCAGAGCCTCGGCTTCTCAACCCGGTATTCTGTAGCACGTTAACAAGCTTCCTGCGCCAGCAAGACCGCAGCCTTCCACACAGGCATTGTTCACGTTCCTTGGTTCGAAAATCATTTTTAATCGCCCATAATGTGTCAAGTATTGTTATTTTAAAATGATAAGTCTCTGCTCCTGTGTCACTCAACCCTTAAACTGCCTCTCTAACACTCTTAGGATGTTGCTGAGCTCAAAGTGCCTTCTGTACCTACGGTGGTTAACGTGTAGCTTTGACAATAATCCCACATCTGTTAACTCCTTCATTCAAAACGCAGTTATGGCTAGCGCACCTAGCGTGTGCCGGGCACATGGGGATGGGCTAGACCATGGCGTGGTCCTGGCCCCCTGGGAGTTTCTAAGCACCCCCTTGAATGTCTCCGACAGCTAGGTGAGAAGACTGAGATTCGGAGAACAAAGGGACACTCTGAGGTCCCACAGCCTGTGGCAGAGCTGGGATCAGGAACCAGATCTCCTGCTTCCTTTTGCTTCAGAACTGTTCTCACTCGCTCTGCAGTGTCATGTTATGAAATGGTCTACAGGCAGAAGGGACCAGCCAGGTAGCGAGGAGAACCCGGACCAGGCTCCCTCTGATCTTCATCCCTCGGGCACTTCTGCCAGTGTTCTGCCCTTGGCATGCACATGGTAAACGTTTGATGCTTAAACATTGCCTGCGTAACTGGTATTTACCGATGGGGAACAGGCTAGTGACATATCTGTCCTGCCCTAGCTTACAGCTGCAGTGTGGTTTGACAGGTCCCACATAAGATAAAGCACATTTTATGCTCATGTGAGTAGCCCGATTTCTTTCCCACCTCCCCCCAGTAAGACAGGGAACTCCATTCCATTGTGGGCCATATCCAGCTTTTCGCCATCATTGTCCCGGGCAAAGCACAGAGCACAATGCATAATAGGTTCTTGGCCACTTTGATTTTTTAGTGGAAGGCTGTAGCAGAGGTTACAGAGGGTATAGAGGAAGGCTCCCACCAGGTAGAGAGCCAAGCAAGGCTCCCGAGAAGACTTCCCAGCCGACATAAATCTTAAAGGACAAACAGGCAGATTGATATCTCACCCATGGGAGAGCCAAGCAGCAAAGCTTTTTCAATTATGCATAGTTTGGGTTTATCCAACCTGCCGCTTCTCCTCCATTTGCAGGGATAATTGAGAGTCAGCCGCGGTTCAACTTGCTAAGTGCCCATAGTGAGCCGTGAATTACGGGGAACAGAAATGCTGTTCATTTTGCGCAGGAAAGGGTGAGCTAGTAAAAATACAAGTGTGGGCTGGTAATTTATTGGCCCTTGTTAACAAGGGCTCGGTAGGCATTCTTAGAGGATTTCTTTTAGATGGTGGCCGGTTATCAGGAGCAAAGAAATTACATTCTTCATTGGCTACCTGAGAGCTGAGGTTTGCAAGAGCAGCTCAGAAAGTGCATTTTCTGCATCTCCATGCTCTCTCATAGTCCTCTTTTCTGCAAAAATGTGCACAACCTTTTGAGAGTGTAGAATGTGATGTCCAAGAAAAAGAAGCAGTGGGAACAGCTATGGGGACGGGACGGTGGGGACTGTCTGTATAGTGTCGTAGTTAAAAGGCCAAGTGCCAGGACTCCAACTCTGGCAGCCCCGCTCACCTGCAGAACCCCTCCTCTGCTTCCTTTTCCTCCTCTGCAACACAGTTGTCATCCTTACCCAACTGACTGGTCCCAAGGATTACATGAGAATACATGTAAACACAAACATTCAGAACAGTGCTTGGCAGACAGAAAGCACCCTGTCAATGTGAGTTCGTGCCTTGTCTGGTAGCCAGAAAGAGCTGGGTTTGAATCTCATCACTTAACTAGCTTGGAAGCTTTGGAAGAGTTCCTCTAACATCTCTGAGCCTCACTTTCTACTATGTAAAGTGAAGATTCTAATACCGAGTTCTTAAGATTTTTATAAGGATTTGAAGTTAAGCTGATGAGAGTGGAAACAGCAAAGGGGACTTGAGGAATGAGCTGAAATTCCTCCTTCTTCATGTGGTAGAGTTGACTGGTCCAAGCCTAAAAGACACTTTTTCCGTTTCTTCACTGTTGCCCACATTTCTGATGATACATTCACCCAGAAGATATTTACCAAATGCCTACTGAGCTGCAGGCACCATGCCTGCTCTTGAGGAGCTCCGAGTCTCATGAAAAGGAACACAGATTAGCAGACAATTGTAAAATCACTACAGGCTGAGGCATCCGATGGCGGTGTGAGCTGCCCTGTGCTGGGTGCTGGGAAGCATGAGTGATTGCTTTCAAGCCAGAATGTTTCAGTGTAAAGCCCTTGATTGACTCATTAGAAAAGTATTCAACATGTCTACTGTTGTTAGTGTTAGGACAGAATACGTTCTTATACTTGCTTGTATAATGTATCAGTGGTGAAAGAAGCCATCATTCTAACACTTTACAGTGTTTTAGGTCCTAATAGTTTTTATTTATCATCTCTTTTCTCCTTTGATCCCCACAATAACCCAAACGAGAAGCAGAGCCAATAGCACCCATTTTATAATGGTGAAGCTCAGAGGAGCTAAGTGACCTGCATGGGGTGATAAGTTACCAAGTGGCCCAGTAAGACCAGATGGATGAGTCAGAGGAGTGAGGGAGGGAAGAAAATACAGATACATATTAAAAAACAATTGAGATTTTCCGGATTCTTGTCTTACGCTTTTCATGCCATTGATGACCCCTTTTCTTGGAAAAAAAAACTTGTGGTGAATATCCCGTGGCTTGTCTACGATCCCAGCAGAAGCCATTCTTGATACTGGGACCTTGATATTTGCTATATTTTAAATAACCTGGATCTCAGTCTGTGCACCAAGCAGCTTAAGCTCAGCCACAAACTAATTTTAATCACTTCGCACAAGTCAGAACACTTTACTGCGTCCCATTTCTGTCTTTGGTGAAACGAGGATGATTTTTATCCACCATGTGACCCCTGAGGAGAGGTCTCTGCAGCCTCCTGTTCTGTGATTCTGTGAGGAGCCCAGTGGCAGAGACCCCCTGCAGACATTAATGAGGTGATTCACACACTCCTCCCTCATCCAGCTGTCCCTAGGGAAGGGGCCTGGCCTGCCTTTGATTTGGGACCCTCGGGCCTCGGGGGCTGTTCTCCTCCACACTCAGCCAGCCTGGAGTTGGATTGGGGTTGCTTTGTTCTTTGAAAGTGGAATATCAAAGTGTTTTGACTGTGTTGAATTTGGTTTTTCCACAGGTTCCCACCAGCCAAAAGAAGGAAGGTGTTTATGATGTGCCAAAAAGTCAACCTGTAAGTGTAAGTATACCTTCTTTCTTCTGCCAGGTTCCTGTAACCCCCATTCATATGAAACTGTGTCTACCACCTGAGGAAAGAACCCCTCTTCTGGATATAAGTGTCACAACTGGTAGAGCTTTGGCGGGGTCTGCATGCTAAGGACTCCTCAGTGAGTCAGAGGGAAGGAGGCATAAGGTGGAAATGGTGGGGCTGAGGAAGAGGTGCCAGTCTGGACCAAGGTCTGGCCCCATGAGTGGCAGTGAGTTGAATTGTGCAAACCACTATGTCTGAGGGCCTCAAGGTCTCACGTGTGCAATAGCAAAAGTCTCCCGCCAAAGACTATATTATACATGGTCAGATAGGGGGCAGTGTCTCGATCCTGGGAAGAGGGTTGCCATCCAGTTTGAAAGTAGTTGACGGGTCTCAGAGGGACAGTCGAAGAGCTGGCCAAGGCCTTTGGCGTGTGTGAGGGTGCAGCCAGTGGACAGACCACTGTGAAAAAGGCCATGTGTAGTGGGCTTTCTAAGAACTCAGGAGGTCCACTACCTCTAGACCCCATCAGCTGGAGGGACTCCTGGAAATGGGAAATCTCAAGCTCTGTGACACTGCCCCATGCCACTGCGAGGCCAGGCTCATATATAGGACCTCCAGTTGGCCCTCAGAAGGCAGCCTCAGAACTTTTGCTCCGGAGGACGTATGACTTGGCCACGGCCCATGTAAAAAGAACTAGGGTATTTAGTCACTGTTGATCTCAGCTCAGTAATGAGTAGAAAGAACACAGGCTGTGAAGACAGACCCTTAGAAATTCCAGCTCCAACCCTAATCGGACTGTTGTGAGGCTGAATGACGCTATCTGGGACATTGTTATTGGTTCTGGACCCCACCCTGTGAGGGATTTTCAGAGCACAAAGGAATCCTAGGGAATATGCGCTCATCAGAGAGGCACACGGAAATGTCCTCATTTAATCTAATCCATATGCTCTGTTAAGGGTTTTACATGAATGTGTCCTTTAATCCTCCAAACAGAAGGCACCCCTGCACGTGTGTTGTCATTACAAGCGATGCACGGCAAATAGTTCTCACCGAGCCGGGGAGTGCAAGTATGCTAGGTAATTGCACACCTCCTCTGGGAAGCCTTCTTTACCCCAGAGTAAACCTCCACCCCCCCACCCCCCCGCCCCTGGAGACCACTATGCTCCTCTTTGCAGTGATAACAATGCATTGTTACTTTTTCTTAATGAATCCATGTGAGCCCTTGACTTTGATTTTTTTTAATATTATTATATTATGTTAATCACCATACATTAAATCATTAGTTTTTGATGTAGTGTTCCATGATTCATTGTTTGCGTATAACACTCAGTACTGCATGCAGAACGTGCCCTCCCTTAATACCCATCACCAGGCTAACCTATCCCCCCACCCCTGCCCCTCTAGAACCCTCAGTTTGTTTCTCAGAGTCCGTAGTCTCTCATGGTTCGTCTCCCCCTCCGATTTCCCCCCCTTCATTCTTCCCCTCCTACTATCTTCTTTTTTTTTTTTCTTAACATATAATGTATTATTTGTTTCAGAGGTACAGGTCTGTGATTCAATAGTCTTACACAATTCACAGCGTTCACCATAGCACATACCCTCCCCAGTGTCTATCACCCAGTCACCCCATCCCTCCCACCCCACCCCCCACTCCAACAACACTCAGTTTGTTTCCTGAGATTAAGAATTCCTCATATCAGTGAGGTCATATGATACATGTCTTTCTTTGATTGACTTATTTCGCTCAGCATAATACCCTCCAGTTCCATCCACGTCGTTGCAAATGGCAAGATTTCATTCCTTTTGATGACTTTGATTTTCTTAAAGGCCTTGGCTTTGGGGTTAATGACAGACAGTACCTGCCTTAGAGTGTTTGTGTTAAGGACTAAATGAGCCGAAGGCTGTGAATTATCCGAGGGCTTGGTGCAGAATAGGGATTCAACAGCATGAGCTGTTCTATTCTGTTTGTTTCTTCTATTTTTCTGTGAGCTCCTTGAGGACAGGAATCACTTCTAATCATTACTCACTAAAGTAACTCCTCTGGGGACTTGGAATCTCTTTGAGCTTTTGATGGTATACTCTTTCCCCATGAAAAAACAAAACAAAACAAAAAAACCCACACATGTGCCCATGTAAATTTTTGTGGGCTTTGAAACCAATAGGATCCTTGATTGCAGCCCCAAAACCTCTGTCGTAGAGCTCAGTCCCTGGCTCATTGTCACCTTCCGTGGTCAGAGATATTCTCACTGAGGTGTCACTTTTGGTGTATTGGATTCTAGAGTTTGGCACAGAAGTTAGAATCCATTGCATTTCTTATGGGTCTTACCCACCTCAGTGCATCAACTTATGGGAGCACAGTTTTGTCTTGACCTGGGCTGCAGGTCCAGAGGGAAAGCCGATTCCCTCTCTTCCCTCTCCCCCACCTTCATGCATCCATGCGCTAGTTTACCCCACCAGGCCCAATAACCTTGGGGTGCTAAACTGTACTTGTACCTTTCTTGTTCCCCTTGCATAAATAACATATTAGGATGCTTTTGTTGGCTTGTTTTAATCCAGACCTATAATGTTCCCTTCTTCTAGCAGATTTGCTCTTAGGGTCATACTACGCTCCCCTCCACCCTTTCCTAGGACTCGGAACCAAGAGAAGGATTAATCCCACTCCCAAAAATATACATTTCCTCGCTTCCTAGTCAAGGCACCTGGAAGATTTGCACGCAGGCTTTATTTTTATGCTGAGGTTTTTGAATTCCAATAGCACAGATGCTGGCTGATAGGGAATGTTAGCTGGCTAGAGAGACAGAGAGGAAGGAGGTATCACTTGGACAGAGCCTTGAAGGATGAACAGGACGTGGGCAGGCAAAGTACCTTCTGGGCATATCACTGAGGTCCTTTGGGCTCCTGAGTTTTCACTGCCTCTGCTTAGCAGCACTCAGAACTGATGAATTTATCATCATTTTCCTTCTAGAAGAAACAGGGGACATGAAGGTAGTCTTCCTTTCGGCCAGCTGATAATGCTGCTCATGTTCTTTAGACAGACATCCTGGCCTCGTTGGGGTTGTCAGGAATGCACATTCCTGAGTGGGGAGGAAGATGTCCGCTAAGCAGCCCATTACCACATCCATTATTTAGTGCTTTTTGCACTCTGTTAGCCTTTGAACATGATTCTGGTTCTGCAGGGGGACCTCAAGAATGGAATGGTGCATTCACAGGTTGCAGAAGTGCCTCTTTCAGACCCTGTATGCCCCACAACACTGAACTTGGCTGAGACTTAACCTTCATGGTCAACTGTTTCAATGACACGGACCTAAACCTTTGCATGCCTCATGTCATTGTCACATGAGAAACACCCAGCCGTTGTCTTCTCCCCTCCCCTCCTTCCCAGCTCGTGTAATATCCTTGTGGCTGAAAAAGAATTCTTCACCCTATAATTGTCCAGTTTAAAACCCTTTTATGTTGTTGTATTAAACATAAAAGACTTTCTAATTATCAGTAATAACCAGTCAGTGGATTCTAGCAGAACTTTCTTTGGCCTTCAAAAGAGAGACTTAAAAGTTCGGCATAGTGGTAAATGGAAGGGACACATGAGTTGTCAAATTAATAAGCCAGCGTCAACATTCATTTGCTTCACATGAAACATGGGTTCAGAAATTGAAAGGAATGATCAGACTCCCCCTGAGATTCTTTCCTCACTTTGGATGTGATCTTTGCCAATCGCTTCGAGTTTCTGAGACTCATTTTTCTGTTCTGCAAAGTGGAAATGATCACCATCCTCCACCAACATCTCAGGGCTTGTGTGAGACTCAGGAAGCAACATTGAGGCATTTTCTGTGAGGATGAAGTGTTGCTTTCACAGCCCCTCGGGCTGTAAAGATTGAGGGATGGTGTGTATTAGTTACCTCCAGTTACTTTACAGGCTAACCCAGGATTACGAGAAAGGCTCAAGTTTTATGACAAGAGAGGGCAAATCTGGGCTCAGTATCAGAAAGAAATTTGAAATCACCTGAGCTGCGCTTCAGAGGACAGGACAGCTCTCAGAGAGTAGTGGGGTCCCTGGTCCTAGGAGTATTCCAGCAGCCCGTGAATGTTTCTGTAGGATTCCTGTGCTGTGAAGGTGGGTGCCGGGAGTGGACCTCAGAGTCCCACATCTGTCTTCGTGTTCACTTGCCCCCATGTTCATTACATCTAGTATTTCCTTCATCCTCTTGCTCCCACTTTCTCAGCTGCCAAGCCAGGCACCCCAGAGGCCCCACTCCTGTCTCCATCCTCTTCTCCCTGGCTTTCATTGCGCAGCAATTAGTTGTGGCCTTGCCCTGTGACATCACTGCTCTGGCTGGAAACAAGTTTACCAAGCATCGTAATCAAGGCACCGCACTGAGCAAGCATTAGGCACAGGGCAGGTACTTAGAAAGTCTCTTCCTCCTTAGCTTCCTTCTGGAGAGCTTGGCATCTCTCTGCTGTGTCTTGGAAAGGAGCCATGCTGGGAGAGACTGGTAGAAACCCCAGTGATCAGATCTCAAGTCCAGGCCTCCCTTCATTTTCTTTTTTTGTGTCATAGCACCAGACCACTAGCCAGGCTCACTGAGAGGCTAAGGGAACTTAGCTGGGGAAAAAGCAGGTTGACTTTATTGAGCATATGTTGTGAGCCACAGGATAGCCTAGACTGTGGTTTTGACCTATCTCATTTAGTGATCACAGCTGGGAAGTAGGTGTCAGTTACATATACGGAAGCTTCCAGAGGTCACATTACTCACCTACACTCACAAAGCCAGTAAGTGGCGGAGCTAAAAGTTGAACCTTAGGTTGTTCTGACTCAGGCACCCATACAATTTCTACTAAAGCCTACTGCATTTAGGATTAAAGAAAATGCCAAGCCCCCATCTCCTCTAGACAGAATTAGTACTCAGGCCGGTTTCTGACTCCCATTACTCATTGTTGCTGAGGCCGGCCCCCAGGGGGTGGCTGTGAACACCTCTCTCCCCCTTTAGCCC